ATTATTATTTTTTTTAAATAGAGACAGGGTCTTGCTATGTTACCCAGGCTGGTCTCGAACTCCTGGCCTCAAGCAATCCTCTTGCACTGGCCTCCCAAAGTGCTGGGATTACAGGTGTGAGCCACCGTGCCTGAACAATTGTTTGTTTTTTGAGAAAATTAGAAAGGCTGTGTCACCAGCGGGTGAAGGTTTGAGGAGATAGTGGCAGAATGGCGGACCTGGGCGGTGGGTGATCGCACATTTAGCGTGAGACCTGCCAGCAAGAGCGAGCGTGAGCGTGGGTGTGCGAGTGTGTGTGCCAGCGTGTGGGGACCTGTGAGGGTGCCAGAGTGTGCGTGGGGGCATGTGGGTGTGAGGGCGGGCGGGTGTGAGCGTGTGTGGGCGTGAGCGCGGATGGGCGTGAGCGCGGATGGGCGTGAGCGCAGGTGGTGTCTCCAGCCGCCCGGGGGTCTCACAGGACATGCGGGGGCAGCCCAGGGAGCGAGAGAGGAGCCTCGAGCTCCAGTCGCTCCACACCCGGCCGCGTGGTTCCCCCCAGGGCCCCACTGTGGGCACCACAGGCCCCCGGACGAAGCCCAGCCCCTGCCCAGACCCCGAGAAAGCCCAGGAGACCTGCCCCGCGGCCTCTCCACAGCCCAGGCCACCTCTGGCCACCGCCAGTGTCTGCTGAGAGGCATCTCTGCCGAGCCCAGGTGCGCGGAGGAAGGGGAGGGTGCGTTTCCACGGCCTCTGGGAACTGCTGTAGGCAGAGAAAATAGATGGCGGGTTCCCCTCTGCTTAAAGGAGCTTCTGGTCTAATCGGAAAGAAGAAATAAATGACAAAATGGGAGCTGCTCCTGCGGAGCCCCCACCGTGTCCCAGGCAGGAGCCCCATTCGCACGGGAACCTCGTGGGACGGGCGCTGGGGTGCCCTTTGCAGGAGAGAAATGGTCAGAGAGGGGAGAGCCTTCCCCACACACCAGGCGTGCGGACAGCGCTGACTGCTGGCCCCGCGAGCGGCCCAGACGGGAGACCTGGGGGAGGCCAGGTGGGGAGCACGTCGGGGCCTGAGCGAGAACGGGGGCTCCTCTGCTGGGCCGGGCAGCTCCACGGGACGGGACGTCGGGCGTGTGCGCGGCTGAGCAGGGTGGGCTGGGGGCCGAGCGCGCAGAACACAGGTGTGGGAGAGGGCGGGGGGGCACAGACAGTGCGGAGACGGAATGGCACTCAGGGACATCCCTTGCCTCCTCCCCTCCCTGGTCCGCCCTGTGGGCGGCAGCCTGAGCCCTCTGAAGAGTTCCTGGCGGACGTGACCACCAGGAGCTGCTCTGTGCAGGAGTCGCGCACAGGAGCAGACCCAGCTGCCTCCGCGGCCGGAGGGCCTTCCCACGCCGGAACTGGGACATCTTGCTCGGCTCTGTGCTTGTTTTGTGTAAAAACAAAGTGTCTGGGGTTGACCAAACATGCCTGCAAATTCCTTGTAACCCAAGAAATCGTGGCTGCAACGTGCCCTGTTCCAACCGGGACTTCGTATTCGTCTGAAAAGCAACAGCAAATATCATGAACGTCACGGGGACTGTGAACGTTCTCTACGTAAAGTTTTGGCAGCGACTTTTCAGATTGAAAAACTTGACATTTTAATAACTTTTTGTAGTAACTGAGGATTTGACTTTGGGTTAATTTTTGTCATCTCTCGACGGGTCTGGGGTTGCGGGTGTAAAACACGGAAGTTAACGGGAAATGCGAGGCTTCGGAGAGACTGGAGCACAGCCCTGCCCGTCAGACACGCGCGGAGCCACGCCCGGGGGTCCGCGCAGGGAGAGAAGAAGCGACTTCAGGCTGCCCGTGTAGGGAGCAGTGTCGCTGTGAAACCAGGCGCCTGCGCCCTGGCTGTTCCCGGAAGGAAGGCTGTGGCGTCTTTTCCTCTCCCAGGGCTGGCACTGGGCCTCGCTCGCGGAACCACTTCCAGGCCCCAGATGCCCTAGAGTCAGCTCCAGACGCTTTCGGTTGAGTCGCCAGAAAAAAGAAAATAGGGATTTCTAAATTCTTCACATCACTGCATTTTGTTATTAAAATAGGAATACACACATTGCACACTTCTGTTACTGAAAAAAGGCGGAAATTTGTTTAAAAAAATATTGAATGAGTAAGCTCTTGCATTAGAGCAAAATAGGAAGAAAGTAAAGACAGAGGTGAACTGAAAGCACCACTTTGCATCCGTGAAAGTCTGGGCCTGACTCACGCTGATTTCTGGCGACCACAGCTGGGAGGCTCCACCCTCCCGCAGCCTCCCTGCTGACCCCAGGGGCAGCCTCCTGCCGTCTGGCGCAATTTGTCATCCCTGTGCCCCTGGCCGGGGGCTTCCAGGGAGGGGTGTCTGAGGCACGATGGCAGCTCCTGTCCCCGGATGACGCCTGGGACTCTGCCCCTCCTCCTGGGCTGCTGCGTGGGTCTCCGGGGCCTCGACACCCCGAGGGCGGCCCTGACACCCCCACCCCTGCTCCTCTTGGGGGGTGAGCGCATTCCGGCTTTGCTGAGAAAGCCCCGGTGGGTGGGGACGTGCGCCTGACTGGTATTTGTGTCACCCAGAGGGCCCGAGCACCGTGGGAGGGCAGAGCGCAGTGCCCAACATGCACACCTGACACATCCACGGCTGAGCCACCAGCCCGACTCACGGGAGGTCCCTGCCGTCCAGCCGCAGGGGCAGAACCACGGGGCCCTGCATCTCCCTCCTCCGCGTGAGCTGCTCACGAGGTGGAAGGGAAGGGACACGTGTCGCCTGGGAGCACGCTCGGGCTACTCAACAGCGGACGTCTTAGTGCTCGAGTGCTCTGTCAGGGGCACCCGGACGCCTGCCCGGTCCCCGCGTGAAGGAAAAGGCAGCGCCCTGCGCAGCCCCTGGCAGGCCCGCAGGAGCCGGGGGACTTCTCCCTCCGCTGGGCCAGTTCTCAGGGACTCCACTGAGAACCTCACCTGCGAGAGGACAGAACTGGCCGTCCCGCCCTCGTCGTGGTGGGAACTCGGCCCAGTGTTCCCCAGGCGGCCCTTTGCGTCTGCACCTGCCTCCTGACCAGGCCCTGCTGGGCAGACCTGCCCGGCCACCCACGGACGTGGACTCAGCCACGGAACAACAGACACACCCTGTCCTCATGGAGCTCGCAAAAGTCTACCAACGCAGGCTGTGGTGTGAGCGGGAGGTCAGAGGTCGCACCCAGACGCAGGTGCAGCCACCCACCAGCTGTGTCACTCAGGCAGCCACCCCCTCCGAGCCTCGAGTCCCCCAGCTGTACGCGGGATGGACAGCGCCTCCTTTCTCCAGCTGTCTGTGCCAAGAACACGAGAAACCCCGGTGTCCAGCACAGCGCCCAGAAAACAGGACCCTGAACCGCGGCCCGGGGACACTGGAAGAGCCCCAGGCCCGGTGTCGAGTAAACAGGGGGCGGGACACAGCCCGGCTACCGCCAGGCCAGAAACTTCTTCCTAGGGCAGAGAAAACACACTCAGTCCCCTGCTCCTCTATCACTCAACCACCTCGGCCCTTCTGTTTTCCGATTTTGGAAACACGGGAAAGTGCAGTGACAAGTGACCACGCCAAGGCTGCGCTGGAGCCTGGGCCGAGCTAAGGCAGAGCTGTTTGCTACCGGGGACGCCTGTCGTCGGTGCAGGGTAAGGCCAGCATTGCTCCCATCCTCCCAGCTTCCAAGAGATTCTAGAATTCCTGACTGTTACGTGGACTCCCCAGTTTGGCCTCCGCTCTAACCGCTAACAGACGACGTGGGAGGCATGAAAAGCACGCACAGCTGCACACGCCTTGTGAGCGACGCATGGCCGTTCTCTGACTGCGACACGGCCCCCACGGGGCGGGGGGCACGGAAGTGCTGTGTGGTCTGGAAGGGGATCTGGATCACGAGGTTCAAACAGACTCTCCCACCCAGACACCCTCGACCCCGCGCTCCTCGGAGGGGGGAGTCCCGGTCGGAAGGGAGCGCCAACCTGCAGGCAACACGGGACAGGGCGGTGCTCTCTGTGGCACTCCCGCCTCCGCATCCACACGTGTGTTCAGATGCGGGATGTAACGTGTGAGCCCAGGGAGGTCACGGTCCTAGGGAACGTGGGATGAAGACCGGGCGAAACACTGCAAACTGCAGACTGAACTTTGAACATGGGAAGATCTGTCAGCACTTTTTGCGTCTTCGAGACACGAAACATTCACAGCACAACGGACGTCAGCGCGTCTGAGACAGGAGCCGACACCACTTGGGTTCTGTGAGTATCGTTACTTTATTAAAGCCCCGCCCGCTGGGGGACACCCTGCTGCCGACCGGTGGGACAGGCACGGGGCAGAGAGCCGGACGCCAGGGCCCGGCTTCCAGTCCTCAGTCTTAGTAGGGACACCGTTTGCTGCGTGCGGTGAGATTTAGATCATTTCTTAAAATGAGATAAATAGGTTATTGCATACCTTGACCTCAGTATCATCAATAAAGTCAAAGCACCGATAATCAAAATACACTGTTCCTAGAGTTCCAGGATACGTAACGAGCGTGTCACACGATTTCCATGAGCAACAAACTTGTGCTTTCCACAAACACTCCAATGGTGCTTTTGATAAAAAATAAACTTTGACTTTGAATTCCACATTCATGGCAAAAAGAATTGTGTCTGTGTGTCAATAAAATTGCTAAATTGGGATATGAATTCCACCTGGGCACAAAACAGTAAAACGACGTCCTCTGGGACCCATCCCCAGGCCGTGGGTGGGCAGGGCTGCTGTGAGCCCTTCTAGGGCCCCAGCCTGCAGCCGAGCATCTCTGAGGGGTCCAGTTCCCCCCACAGCTCGAAGGAAACCCCACTACTCCCTCGTTTGACATCGACAGAGAAACACCAACCAAGGAATTAGGGTCTAGTCTGAGCACCTATGGGCAACTCCGTCAATTGAAAATGGCTCTAAAATCTAGACAATCTGATTGCCAAACACCTACCTTATTTTGTCAATTGAGCAACACAACATGAATTTAAAAATTCTCATTTTAAAATAGGTTCAGTGATTAAAAAAACTTGCAAGATTCCACCTGCACCCCTCACACCTTGTCAGGGCAGGCAAACCCCACGGCACCTCTGCCCCACCAAGAGGGTCACGATCCCGGGACGGTGCCTGTATCCCTTCTGCCAGCAGATGGCGCCGCCGCACACCTGGTTTTCAAATTTCATACAACAGGGGATTCTAACAAGGGCAACAGATCGTGTTATCCTCTCTCTTAGGCCAATTCTCTCCGACTAAAATGAACGCGACTCCGAGTAAGACACGCAGGACGTGAGCATGTGACTGGGAGGTCCATGCTGAGCCGACTCCGCCCACCACGTGGCCCTTCAAGACAAAGCCACTTCAAGTACTCAAACAAAGCCGTCCCCCGGACAGCCTGCAATGCCTGACACCGTGGCCTCTCCCTGGTGCTAACCCTGATCTGACGTGGCTGGAAGATGCCAGAACAGTTGAGAAATCATTACGGCAAAAATCCGCGAATCAGGAGAATCAAGGTCTTGAGAACACTTTGTGGCTACTTCAAAATTAATGCTAATGAGAGTTAGTACTTCACTTAGAACCAAACACAAAACGCTCACTACCTCATCCGTCACCAAAGCCATCATTCAGGGAACCTGGCGGGGCCCGAGTGCCCCTGTCCACCGGCGCCTGGGAGCCATCGTGTGGCTACGACCTCTTCCTCTGCAGCACCTGACCGTTGGTCCTCTCCGGCCGACTGCGCTTGGCTTCCGGCTGTGCGAAGTTCCAGTCCACGGGATTGAGCAGCTGCTGGGTCTTCTTATGGGTCCAGTACGGGTTGAGGATCAGCGTGAGCAGAGCCAGCCCCACGAGGAAGAGCGCAAAGTGAGGCAGGTACAGGCTGCTGACCAGGCCGTCCCAGTACCAGAAACACACCCACCACATGTGGTAGGTCAGGACCATGCGGCAGTGGAACATGTGGATCATCAGCCACTGGTTGAGCTTCCAAAGCAGAGAGTCCGACCAGCCGGCCTGCGGGAGACCAAACACGCAGAAATCAACACAGGACCGCCCAGCCGCCCTCCGCCCCGTGCGAAGGCACTTGCTAGTGTCCTTCACCAGACACAGCAAACCCGCGTCTGGTGCGCTGGTGTCTCCTGGAAGGAGACCACTGGCTGGGAGGGTCTGCGCCGCGGGCTCTGGGCCTGGCCTCGGCCTGCTCCTCGTGCTCTGTTCCTGCTCCCAAGACAGAGTCCACGGCAATCTCTCTTCTACCTTGAATGTGCACGTGTTGAGTAAATAAGCTATGCTTACCTGGCAAAACTAGAAGACGTACGTGCGCCGAGCTCCCGTACCTAGACCCCGGGAGAAAACTCTTGGAAGAGGTAAGTTTCGGATGAAGCACATTTCCTAGTTTGTTTAGTCCTTGGATTCAGGCCAAAAGGGGCTCGCCTTAAAATCATGCTAAACTTGCATCATAACTAGTTCCAGCAGTCGCAGTTAAAACCAAATGGGAACCTGAAGATGAAATGCTGGACCAAGGACACGAAGGTGGGACGAGTGGCCTCGCGAGCACGAGGACAGCCCAGAACATCACAGCCCTGAGTTCCCGCACGGCAGCCCTCACAGCAGGTGCCCTACACGGGTGCACCCCTTACCTTGTTACTGCATGCTGTGATGGCGGTGCTGCGGAAACCTTCAATCCCAATGCCCTGCTATGCAAGAATCTATCAGCTTTACTAAAAGCTTAAAAGAATTTCAATATTTTAGACACAGTGTTTACCTACAACACTTAGTAGTATTTGAACTAGAACAAAAAAATAGAACTATCTATCTAGAATGATCTACTGACCCACCTAGGCTACATTAACTTAGGTGCAATTTTCTGCGGTTGGGTCTGCAGCTGTGTGGTTAACGTGAGCAGGGTGTGAAGTGAATCCTGGGGTGACCTTTTCTCCACCCTAAAAACTTAGAGAAAGTGCAAAACCCCAAAATAAAACCTCTCTCCCTGGTGGTCACCCCACGGCCGTGGTCTGTCCTCCGCCTGAGGCTGTCGAGGACCACAGAGTCCAGGCCTCACCCCCGCGTGACAGACTCAGCCTGCGGGAGGCGCCGTGCCCGCTCCCGGCTCTGGGAGGAGCACAGACGGGAAAATGCAGGCAACTGTCCAATGGGACCTCCCAGAACTGCAGAGACAGGAAAGACTTTAATTTCTTCCTTTCTTGTTTTAAAAGAACTTGCAACTAAAAATAATAAGAACGCAAGGTAACGATTACCCCATTTCTCAGAATGCGCATCATCTGCAGGGCTGCAGTCAGGTCTGCCGACCACACTGTCCAGCACATACAGGTGACCGAGCTCCTCTGCCTTCCCTTCAAGAACATGACTTTCTGCCACGCCCAGTGACTCCCGAAGCCCAGCGTTTCCAGGTGTGAGGGGAGTGGGGAAGGTGGAGCGGGGGCCTCAGCCTCTCCCCCAGCACACGCCTCCACTCCACACCGACTCCAAGCCAGAGGAAGGAAGGGAAGTCACAGCCCTGCCCTGCGTCCCTGAAAAGCCTCCACTGCTGCGGAGAGGACGCCCATGGAGGAAACTGAAACACCGCACTGTGGGCAGGATGCTGACGGGGTCCCAGGTCGCAGCAGCTCTCCTAAAATGACCCACACTTAGACCATTTCATTCGCTTGCTTGGCAAGAGCTGGGGGAGGGGGCGGGGTCCCTTAGGTGCCTCCTTCAATCAGGCGTGGCTGCAGCCCTCTTCCCTGGTGAGGCTACCCAGATCATGCCACCCCAGACCCCTCACACCACCCCCCCAGGCCAGCCTCCCGTCAGCACCCTTTATGTGCGTGGCCACCCTGCAACCCCGTGTCACCCTGTGCCAGAGGTGGCCGTGCCCAGCTCACCCTCATTCACCCGCCACGGCTCAGAGGAGCCTCGCCCTGCTCTTCCCGGGCCAGGCAAGGCCCCACCTGGGGCCGCGGCAGTGCACGTTCCTGTCCCTGTGCTCACACACCCTCTGCTGGCACCAGGCAGGGCCAGCCCAGGGGACAGCAGGAACAGGGCTCTCTCCGACGTCCCAGGTCCCAGCACAGTGCGCGACACGCAGCTGGCGTTCCATGTCGGTTACGTGGGCAGAGGCTGCACCTTTATGTTGTTAACTCACTTTGATGGGCTGATACCATCCACCCAACTAGACCCTGAAGGCAGGAATAGTACTTTACACTTATTTTTCCTCTCAAAGCCTACCACAGTGTTCTATACACAGGAAATGCTCAAAAATACAACCCATCTGTGTGACCGATTAAACCGTAGCAGTATTTCAAGTTTCATATAGAATATCCTGGGAACAATGTAATGTGTCACAAGAGATAGCAAGAATCCATGCCAGCATGGTCTTAAAAGAGGAGATCAGCACAAGGAACATTCTGGCATCAAAATGGCCAGCGAGGTCACGGATGGCAGACAGACCACGCCTCTCAGAAAATACTCCCCAAACAAGGAGGAACCACGGGCTGAACAGGTAACTGTGCCAGGTCTCAACACTTCTGATCCCTAGTAAAAATCTCATTCAAAAATAAAAAGGCAAAAAGATATGTGTGTACATGTACATATATTACTTCGACTTTTTTGAAGTGTCGGAAGAGGGAAAAAACTCATGTTTGCTGGGTTTACAAACACTCCCCAGAGTCATAAGATCCACTGAGATTTCTTAAGGAGCAGAAATCCCAAACAATTTAGAATTAACGGAATGGCGTGCACCAAACCGCGTTCATTACTGCACACACGCGCGTAAGCCGTGATTCAGTCTGCTCGCGAGCTCACGGCACGGCCCGCCACGAGGTTCCAGCCGTGACGAAATGTGCCAGGCCCGCAGCTCGGCACCTCACCCGCGGAGCCGCACGGGACACACTCACCTTCAGGAGCATCCAGGAAGCGCAGGTGAAGGGCGTGCTCATCTCCAGCAGCAGCGTGGTCATGGCCAGGTAGTGGCCGGCCCTGAGGTTGACCAGACAGCCGAGAAAGCCCAGGAAGGCGAAGAGATGGTGCATGGCCAGAAACACGTCGAACGTGCGGAAGGACAGGTTGGACAGGTGCACCGCAGCGTTTTCAAAGAAGAAGAAACCGGTGGCCGTGGTGACGTGAAACCAGCACCAGTTCTGCTGGCCATGCGCCTTGTCCGCGTGAAGCACGGGGTCCCCCAGCAGAGCCCACAGGCCCGCGGCGGTGCTCTGGACGCCAAAGACCGCACGCGTGGCCGCCAGGTCCCAGAAGACCTTCTCTCTGGACACCAGGGAACGGTAAGTGGCATTCAGGGAGGACGACAGCTGGTGGCAGACCACGAAGACGCCCAGGTAGAAGGCAAAGCCGGCGACGGCCAGCGTCGTGCGGATGCGCCAGGAGGCGTAGTCCAGGTCAAAGACGCCCTCCGACGTGGCCCCGGCGCTCGCCGGGGTCATCATCCCGCGTCAAGAGGCGGCCCGGGGCCAACACAGGGCTTCCGGGCCCCGCAGTGCGTCCTGTCCAAGAAAACGGAGTCAGCGCCGCTCCCTCAGGGATCGTCATGTATCGGTCTTCAACCTGAAGGAAGAAAAGACGATTCGCTTCATGCTGAGCAGAAGCTGAGACACATCACTAACCCGGCGAGGCAAAAACGTCATGGAAGATATTTCTCTTAGTTCTGTACCTCCTTCTTAATGCAGTTACAGAGATACTCAAACACGCACGACAGCCGCTGGGGTGCATGAGGGACGGGGAGGCACCGAGTGAGCGGGAGGCGGAGGGCGGCAGCGTGGACACGCGGTGCCACGCTCTTCCTGCGCGACTTCCACAGCGGTCTGTGGTCAGTCACACAGCTCATGGACTCCACGGGGTGAAGCACACTTAATAATCACACTGGAATTTACCGCGTTAAAGCATCTCACTTCTAGAACCTGAGACGAGAACATCGCCTCGGTACTCCGAGCTCTGTGTGGCAAAGCTACCTATAAACAGCACCGTGTTTCAGACACAGTCCGTGGAACACGGCTGGGGAGGGGCAGGCGTGTCTGGGTTCAAATCCCTGTGTGGCCACTTCCTGGTCACAGGGCCGCTGGCCTTCGCTGAGGCTGATTCCTCACAGAGAAACGTCGCGTGCAGGCATTCGAACGTGCATTTTAATACTACACTATCGCCACTCCTTGTTCGGATGTCCCTATAAAATGTCCTTATGAATAGCGGGAAAAAACAAGTTCCGAGGTCTAGTCTGTCAATTGAAATGGTCTGAACTGTCCTCAGCCTCCCATGGGAAGGGCAGCCCTGGAGGCCGTTGAGGACGCTCCCACGCGTGTGCCTCAGGCCCCTCTCGGACAGCAGGACGGACCCCAGAGCAGCTCCGGCCACTACCTGGTTCGGCCCACTGAGCCCCTCCCGCCCACGCGGCCCTGAGCCCTCACGTCTGAGAAGGACCTGCCACGGGAAGCCCAGGCCCCAAGCTGGACCAGAGAACCTGAACGGCCTTCTCTAGCCCTCAAACTCAAGGCAGCAATTCTCACTCTAACCATGAAAAAAAACCCTAAATTGGTAAGTACGTAATGATCACTTAATCTAAGGAGTTTGTTAGTACCTTGTTTCAAAAACTCGTTTATCTTCTCCTAGTAACAGTGGCCGAGAACATACTGTGAACCACAATGGATTTATTTACCTATTCAGAAACGAAGTTCGATTAAAATAAATCTATACCTTTTCTCTACAACAATGTTAACACAGCAGCTCACTCTCTCAGTGTACATTTTATACTTCTGCTGCCCACAACCAACCCACTTCCTGTTCCAGCTCGGGTCTAACAAAGCCTGGAGGTCCCAAGAAACAGGCTCCAAGCTTAGCTCCCGCACACCGAGGAAGCCTCCTGCTGCACGCTGGAAGACGACCATCTCGTTTGCTGCGTACAGGTTAACACTCCAAGCACAGCCTAAGACCTGTGCTCCTCTTCCTCACGTCACTACTTGGTTCAGACCCTGGAGGGGCTTCCCGAGGCCTGACCGTGACCTACAGGCATCTTCGGGATACGGCGCAGCCACCTGCTCAGGTTCGACTCTCAGGCCCCTGCTAGCACCTTCCGGTTCTTTGGGAACACCACGCTCTCCCTCACCTCTGGGCTCTGCACGCGCTGGGCCTCCACCTCGAAGAGTCTCCCCCTCCAGCCCCAGTTAGCTCCGTCTTACCCTGCGGGTCCTCATTAACGGCCATCCAGACGCCCTCCCAGCCCAGGGAGGCTCACGACCCGGTTGAGTGCCTTTGCTGCGAGCTCCCGGTGCACCCCGCGTTCCCCAGTACAGCACCTGACACACACTGGCCTTGCTCACTGGGTCCTCACCTCCCTGGGAAACACCCTGAGGGCACAGCCCACACCTGCACCGCTGGCGCAACGCTGGCTCACGGCAGGCACTCACGAAATACGTGTTGAATACACGAATAGATCCTAAATTATGCTCAAGTGGTTCAGTTTACCTGAGTTTGAACTTGTTTGGTTTCTCAAACTGCAAGAACCAGAGTCTCACGTTTGTGAAACTGGAAGGAACCTGTGCAGTTACCTGTTCTGCCCTTTGCTTTCGCACGGCAGGAATCCAGCGCACACACTGGGCACTGCGGAGTCAGCTGCGGACAAAGCAGCATCAGAAACCTGCCTTCAGATCCCCGGCCAGCACCCCCCCGCCCCCCCCCCAGTTTGCAGGGGCCCAGCCACACGGCACTTGCAGAGGAGAGGACCTGTGCGCCCACGCCCAGGCTCCGCTCTGCCACGGCAGCCTCAGTGTGCTCCTGGCAACACAGCCAACTTCTGTGGGACCCTTGCCTGCAAACAGGGGGTTCCCCTGACCCCGGGAAGTTCTGCCCAAAGTGATGACTCAAATCCCCCAGTGGAAGTGGTGAGCCAAGTGGACCTCCAGGAAGTCTTTGGTTTGGCCAGGGTGGGAGGGGCTCCAGGACTAGAGGACCAGAGTTGGTTTGGTGGGTTCCGAACTTGATTTCACTACACAGAAGCTAAGAAAACAAGTTTCTTTCTAAACCACCCTGGGCCCCATGCCTGACTATGCGAGTAAGAAGCGCACATACAGAACAGCAGGATAGGAGGCCCCTGCCATGAGCCGGGCACATTCAACTAGTTTATTTACTCTCTACAAGAGAAAATGGCTTCCAGGTCTCTGCGCCTTGCAGGTGCCGTTTTGAAGATATTACCATATCTGAAGAAAGAACTGCAGACGGGTTAAAGTCTGTCACTGAAACACAAGCAGGTCAGCCAGAGCTGAGACTGGGCAAGTCCTCCTGCTGGTCCCAGAGCAGGTGCCAGTTACAGATACAGAAGCAACAGATTATAAAATCCAGAAAACTTGCTACCCCTCACAATTCTATAACCAATCCCCCATTCAGATGCTTTGCCATAAACCTCCTCATCATGCATGCTCCTACACAGCTGTGCACAGGGAGTCTGCGGGCAAGCCAGTGAGTTCTGGTCTAACCTGTTACTGTGGGTCTCCGGGTCTGGTGAGCACCAGGCATGCATGAATGAGACACATTCCTCAACTGTCTGAGCCACGAGGGTGGAGGGCCAGGCCCTAGGTTGCAGGGTGCCTGGTTCCAGCCCAGGCAGCCAGCCAGCCACCCCGGGAGTCTACAAAGGCCTGCTGTCCCCTCTGTGGCATCACATTGTCACACTGGGAGCAGCTGCAGCTCACGCTGCGTCACCAGGCAGGCACCGTGGGAGTGTGGTGAGGCCTCATTCTAGCAGGCAGTGCAGACGGGAAGAGCTCCAGTTCTCCTTTTGCTTCTATTTCCACTCCTTGACCTGACCACATCCCTCTCACCTTAGATGCGCAAAAAGGGATGTTGGGGTCAGCACCGTTCCACTGCTGTGTGCCTGCCTCCCCTCAAGGCCCGGACTTAAGGACGCCTCCATGGTGCCTGACGCCTCACATGTGATGCACAGCTGGAAGTCACTCTTCCTTCGGTGGGCAAAACCGGAGATGTCCTTTCAATCTGGAAGGCTTCAAAGCTCTTCCCCTGCAGCCCCTTAGTCTCAGCGGTTGAGGAACCGGAGCCAGAAAAGAAGTGACTCCTGCAAAGGCCGCGATCTCAGCACCAAGCTGTCTCCTGACTCTGCAGGTCTTCGTCTTCTCTGGGAAAAATGTATCTGTAAACCTCATCTCATTCTTTCTAAGATTCTGTGGTTTAAGCTGTTCTATTGCACTGGACCATGCATTTCAAAGAAATCTGAATGCAAACATACTAACAAAGTATTAGCTCCACAGCCAGTGTGGCCAGGAACTGGAGCTCGGTGGCTGCCGGGACCCTTCAGCTCTGTCACGCATGTACGAGCACCTTCTGTTCACTGGGCTAAACTGCTACAGATACCAGCAATTTTGTGTCTGGTTAAAATAATTTATCCAAACCTTGGAAATAAAGTCAAAAGGAAAAAGTGGTTGCTGTTTACATTTTTTTGCTATGCTAGATCACTGCTTTATGAGCCCCCTCAGAATCACTTGACTTTCTAGGAGAAATAATTAAACTCACTATTTACCACTAATTGGGGCCTAGAGGTTTCACAATCTGCAAATTTAATTCCCCTTTCTGTCTAGAAGAAAAGATAATCCCAAAGGCTGTGGTTTCATTGCATGTTGGGTATTTGCCAATTTTGTTCCTAACCTGCATCTTACTTCAGCATCTTATCCTCTGGCTACAGAAATCCTAGTTTTATGCACTCTCTTGTGAACGGGCATTGTCATCCTGTTGGATCCTCCATTATGAGGAGAATATCACACCCGACACAGGCAGTTTGCATGAGAATCACACTTCTAACATTTTGAGAATTATAGCTTGATAGTTTGTAAAAATATTTTTCCAAAATCAAAAGAAATACATGCTCCAAAAACAAAATTCAGAAAATGTAAACAGCATAAAAATACAAAAGTAAAACTGTGCAATCCTTCCACCCAGCCCTAGCATTACCACTATGCCTTGGTGACTACTGGGCCAACTGATCTTCTGGATATAAACTCCTCCTTTTTTCATAAAGAGGGACCGAAGTATACAAGCTGCACAGTGGCCTGTTTCTTTCCTCCCAGCAACATGTCACTACGTTCGCTTGTCGATCTTCTCCTACAACGTGGTTCTACTGGCTGCAGAGACCCTGTCCTAGGGCTGCCCCACCACGTACTGACCCAAAGTCCTGTTTTCCAGTTTCTCTCTACTGTAAAGTACTCTGTCCTGAACATCTCTGAGGCCACCTGGAGAACCTGTTATTTCAGCTCCTTTTAGGGAAACTGGCTGCTTAAGAAGAACCACCACAAGAACAGCCTAGCAGGTGACAGCCAGTCCACTTGTGTCCCTTCTCCAGGGAAGGCACAGAACCGGCGAGGCTCAGCGGGCAGCGTGACCCTCTGACACTCCCCCACTTGCTGATATTTCCTTCCTCGTTGCCTTTTCCTCTCACAACCTTCCCGAAAAGTTTTAAGTGCAAAAAAAAAAAAACTCAAAAATATGGAAATAAGAAAAGCAGGAAGTACAGCTACGGATCTCACAGAAGCTGAATTCAAACAGGAGTTG